AGAAGGTGCTGTGCTAACCACAGGGTGATGATGCATTCCTCTGTGGCAGGATGGAATCAAGAATTCAAATACTGTGCTTAAAAATCCAGCTCGAAACCTAACACAACAAAACAGCAAGACGCACTGTAGCTGGCTGTTTCACCACCCGCTGTGTTTTTTCATAAAGGCATACCAGCACATAAAAGAATTCCACTTCAAACTACACACAGGATAGGTTCTATCAAATCCCAGTTAGCTGTTGGGTTCTGTTGGTACTATACGATCTCCTACCTATTTTAGGTTGCATCCGCTATGTCCCATTCAGAACTGGTGTTCAGGATACTAACCCTGGAAGAGGGGAACGTCATGATAACCATGACAAGCATTTCTCTGAACTTACACAACTGCAGGCAACACGCTAGGCGTGCCACACATATTCTTTAAATAACCTGAAAAATACTTGGTGTTTTCTATGCCCACATGTTAACAGATGTGGGATTCTTCTTCAGTTCTTTTTTCTCCTCTTTCTTTAATTTGAATAATTTAATCAACATACTATTGAATGAAGTCAGCAGGACTACACATATCTTCCAGCTGTGTCCCTCTCTCCTGCACAGATGCCTGCTAACTGTGGGTTGCCCATCTGGAAGCTGAGTGTGTGCAGGTACCACGGGGCCATTTTCTTCTTTAGAAAAAATCAGCCACTACTCTGATTTCTCACTCTTTCAATGTTTCTTATGATTGAATTCTCCATATTGATAAGAGTCAATTAGAAACACAGCATTTTAATATACTTAAGATATATATATATATATCAATTGAATAATGACAAAAAATAAAATATAGAATTTTTAAATTAAATTAAAATGTTTAAAATTTTTATTTTCCAAGTTTCTATACAGAACCTGCCCTTTCCCTGTTGAAAATGCTCCTGTTTGACTCAGACCATCGAACTAACTTGCCACCTGCGTTTCTTATAGTTAACAGGTGAATCGCCAGTGGAGAGCACTGGTTCTCGGAAGACCCGAGTGTGTGACTGAGTCTTCATATGATGCCTCCTCTGTTCACAGCTCAGATGATGATAGATAGATGACAGATAGACAGGTAGGTGGTCAGAGAGAGATAATAGGCAAGTAGCTGATAGATGATAAGTTGTTCCTTCTGAAAGGATCATCTACTTGCTGTTCCCTGGTATTATTTCATCTAGCACACAGTTTGTTTTGATTCCATGTGATAAAGTATTTAGATCAATCCATATGAGAAAAAGAGAATATAGAAAAGTATTGGATTTATTTAGTAGCCTGCTACTCTTAATTTTGTTGATATGTGACATTACAAGGAGGTTTCTTTAATGGTTTGGTAAAACCAACCACAGAGCTATTTGTTTCTGGATGTGGGTCAGTTGTACCTGGATCATATATATGGCTGTCACCGGCAGCTATATCAGGGGTGGGTTACATATTTACTAATATCTTGGGCACTGGATCACCACCGTTTTAGCGAAGACTATCAATGATTCTTGTGATGAATATTTGAATGTGACCAATATTCACAATAACTTCATTCTTTCAAAAAGCAAATTTTTAAAGTTTGAGAAGAAATATGATAAATGCCCAAAATGAAAATGAAGCTCATGACGTGGGCAGCATTGCCACAGGGATAGGCAGCTGGGGAAACCGAGATGCAAGGCAAGATTGGTAAAGCTAATGGTCAGTTAAAGGCACATCAGCCCCGCTCAGAAGAACAGAAGGAAACACCTCATCTTTCAGCGTCAATAGTGGAACCCCGCACAGGCCTGTAAGCAGCAAGGTTTCTGCTGAGGGTGTGCACGAGGCAGTAGGTTTGATCCAGGCCCTTCTGCCTCCCCCTTGTTTTGCCCCACCCCACCCCCAGCTTTCATGCTGTGGCTCTATTTATAATCCTCAGGCTTCCTGTGTCAGGTTCCCGGGCTCCGTGAGTCAACAGAGGGGTGTGCTCACAGCAGACAGCAAGAAGCCATTCTGGGATGGAGATGTGGTATGTCACTCACTGTGGAGTCTATTCTTCCTAAGTCACTTCCAAGTACATTGTGCCAAATAGCCCAAACTTTCAAAAAATTATTCAGAACTCCTAAAATTTAAGTAGATAGATGTCACATTGTTTCTATAAATGCTATCTAATTTCAAAACCAACTAAAACCTATGAGATTTCAGATTTGAGTCCACACAGCTCCCTTTAAGAACTGTGTGTGGAATTCCATGATGTCATATGTTCACTGTTGGTGGTATTTATACCCATGCTGTGGAAGGTCATGGATATTTATCATGGTTCACAGCATGGACCTACTGAGCCTTCTATATAAGCAGCACATGGGCACAGCTGCTTTTATGACACAGTTACTACCCCAACTTACACTATTTTTGACTACTTTTAATAAAACTCATTTTTACTGCTTTCATGAAAAGACTTATATTTGGCAAGTTAATAAAAAGTTATGATGGAATACAACATAATCTATATTTTCTGTGTGTTGGTATCTCAATAAAAGAAACAGCAACCACTTATCAAGGCTCTGCTCCTATTAGAAAGTGTTCTACATCATATTAAAAATAAATGAAAAAATAAATATCAATGAAGAGTCTATACACTTAGGGTAAAACAATACTTCCTTGAATGTAACATGGATTTGATGAATAATAACAATTAAATTAGTGTTTCAGACAGAATTCTTATCTGCAAGCAACAGAACTAACTCTGGACATCTCCAGCAGATGGAAGCTGGAGGAAAGGTCGGGTAGATGGGCTGCTGGAAGAGACGCCAGGCAGCAGAGGCACTCTGACAAACACTGCTGCCGCCGGGTGGAGCCCCACGGATCTGCACTGTCACCCCAAGGCGCCACGTCCATTCCTTATATCTCACCCCACATCCTTGGTAGATAGGCTGAGCCTATCTTGTGTACTTGTCCAGCTGTCAAAGGAGAAGTAGGAGGGGGCAGCTCTCTCTTTACATCTTCACTGTGGTGGGTAAGAAACTGAAAAGTGAGACCAACAGCCAAAACACCAAATCACAAACGACCAAGAAGGCTACTTAGTCTTTTATCTTGACCCCCCAAATTTTTCACATTTATGAAAGATGACTCCTCCATTCCTTTTAATGGCTCATGGCTAGTTCATTCCAGAAACAGGATGCACGAACTGACATCCACCCAGCCTCAGTGAACTTTCTGGGTGATCCTACGCACGTCACGACATCTCTCTCCTCTTATCTACAATGATGCCCATGCATGTCATGGCTCCTTAAAAGGATGCCATTAAATGATAGCGGTGCTGGTTACAGCACTGACGTCCTCAGAGAGGGATTCAATTCTTGTTCCATATTTGGCTTCACTGCTCTAGGACCCATGCATCCAGGACTGACTTTCTTCATGAAATTTCTGTTGAATTCCATTGCTGGAAAACCTGCATCTATGTGTCTGCACTTGCCCTATAAACGCCTCACAAGAGAGCTTCTGGAAGATATGTGGTCTTTGGATCTCAGGGTCACATCACTCTCCCAGTGCATCAGCCCTGAAGAATCTGTCCTCGAGTGTGAGGTCACAATCTTCATGGAGGAGAAGCGTGGCCTTCCACTTACTCAGGGAAGGAAAGTACGTAAGATGACCGGCAGCTTCTGCACCATCAGAGGAGTGGGCCTCGGAAAACGGGCCCCTTCAGAACCCAGAGAAAAGGAGTCTTTTCCCATCTCTCCTTACTTCTCAGGCAAATCCCTGAAAGGTCGGAGGACAAGCTCCGGGAAAACATGCCTGTTTATGAACCGTCTCTCAAAATCACTCCTGTTCCCTGTGAACCACACTGTAGTGGAAGTCTGGAAAAGATGGCCGATGGCCTACCGTGTTGTAAGGTGGAGGAGCCAACTCTGCAATAAAAACCCAACCCGCCTTCACCACGAGTAGGTTCCTCTGTGAATGATCGCAGAGTAGATGCATCTTCAAGGAGCAGAGGGGACAGCAGGACACTCCCTTACTACCACCAGCATTTTCTCGCTAGTTCAGGGCCCAGACATCAGCACAAGTGGTTCTAGCGGATTGCACACTCTAAGACTGACATCACTGATTTCCTCACGACTTCATCAGTGTTATCTAGGAAATCTCAGCTGATAATGTGGCCATGCCTACCTAATTCCTGATATCCTGATGATTATTAGCTGGACAGTTGATTTCATGGGGACATCTGGATTCTCAGCTGAGACCTTTTCAGCTTCTATGTAGATACTTGACATAATACAAACTGTACTGGAACTTCATCAAAGCTGAGAATCCTGTTGCTAAAGCAACAGTATTTTAATGTGTTGATAATAAGCTTCATAATTGTTGAGTCGGGCAGCACCCTAAATGCAAGGCCACGTCATTTTAAAAGATGATTATTAAAAGTAGGACTTACAAATCAACATTAAGAGAAAAGAACACCCTATTACATAAATTCTCCGTATTTCAAAAAATGCTCATGTCTTTGTTTTCTCTTGAATAAACCTTATTTGGTGACATTTTTAAGGCCAACCACCACGAGTGTGGACATGAGATCCACGAGCTGCACAAATAGCGGTGTGAGTTGTGCTCTCACGCGATGCATGGAGCTCTCGTCCTGTGCTGTGGCCCAAATGGGGCTGGACTGCATGGAGCCTGTGGAGCTGAATGGCTGGCCACAGGGCTCCAAGTTGTCCATGCCGCGGCCACTTCCCGCTGCCTATTTTAGCTGATGTCAAATTGAGAAAATATTGTCATTTAGCAGTTTTGAGGTCACCATCACCTGACAGTGATTTTAAAGTATCATAACATAGATTATATCCATGATGTTTTACTTTAAAATATTCATTGATTTTTAGCTGGTTTGGATATTCTATATATATTTTCCCTGCAAGCAGAAACCTGGAGTGAGTAGGGAGAGAGGAGGGAAGTTAGGTTAAAGAGCTTAGGGCAGAGGAGGGGAAAACTGAGCTCTGGGTCATAACATGCTGAAAGTGGAGTGGACGCGTAGCACCTTACCTGAGTGGTGTGGCTGTCCCGGTGCCTCTGGAGCGATGGCGTGGCCGTGCCACTCACACTCAGCCGTGAGTACCGGTCCTCTTCAGGCGAGCCTGCGGAGCACAACACAAAGCCCTGTTGAGTGGCGTCTCCCTCCCCACCTGAAGCAACCTGTTCAGCACTGGACCAAGCCGACCTTGTTAGGGTTGCAGGCTTGAAACGTCAGTGAGCGCTCACTGAATATGGAGTTTCCCACCGAGTGTGGGACACAGTGTGTTGCCACAGTTGCACACACTGTGGAAATACAACGGCAGGACAGAGAAGATGTAAGGAAGAAATGAGTCACCGTGTCACAAGAGTGGGTCAGGAAGCCCTGGAGGGAGGGGACAGAGGGACTTCTCTAGAGGCTGAGGAGAATTTGAAGCAGTGTTGATGGGGGAAGGACCAGAGAAGAGTAGTCCACCTGGATTGCTGGAAAAATGCTCTTGAGAAGCATCAGGGAGGGAGAGCAGGAAATAGAGAGGACACCAAGTGTGTGTGTCTGCTGAGTCCACGGATCACAGGTCATTCTGTCCACAGCTAAAGACGCACGCTGGATTGGAATCCAGGAAATTTTAGCAGCACCCCCCGCCAATGGCATAGAAGTACTCCTGAGGCCCCAAATGACTTCATTATCTCTCATGTTTCCCGACTCAGCTCTGGTGAGACTGTCCTATGCATTGAGGGTGTTGAGCAGTGTCCCTGGCCTCTCCCTACTACTTGCCAGTAGCACTCAACTTAAAACTTCAGTGTTCCCATTGCTAGGTGCATCTTGGGAACCAATCTGTCCGCCTGCAAGGTTGGGGACCATTGTGATAGGGACCCCCTGCATTGCCAGAAGTGACTTGGTTAAGAAACAGGAACGGATACAAGGAGCAATAACTACCCACTGGAATGAATTCAACCAGAGAACTTTAAGTACCAAAGCAATTACTCCTCTCGTCTGAAAGCATCATTAACTACATAGTTTAATTGATTAAACATATACATGATTCCTAAATTAAAAATCATTAGAAAATCACTGCACATTGTTCCGGTTACAGGAGACAGGTAGTTCCTCAGGGAAGTCCATGCGAGCCTATCGACATCTAACAAGGCCTGCCGATTGACCTTGCTAAATGTACAAACACCTCCTCATGAAGGCTGACTTCACTGAGCAGGGTAAGTCACTGTTGCCCCTGGACCTGAGATGCCTCAGGAGCCTGGTGCTGGAGAAAGGGCCCTTGCCGTAAGCAGTGGCAACATCCCCCGCTGGCAAGGGGGACTACTGTATTTAGATACTGGCAGCAGAAGGTAGGAAAGGGTGCAGCCCAGCAGTTAGTGTTGAGCAATCCAGAACCCAGACAGGTGGAAGGGAGCCTGGGGCCTAACCTGGTGCACAAGTGGGAAATCCAGGCAAGAAAACAAGAAAGAGCTTGGGGTTCCTGTGAGAGACTCCCTCTTAGAGGGGGATGAGGGACCGAGGGGCAGGCACAGGCCCGTCCACCACCAGGACACATGTCCAGCTCACCTGGCATCTTAACTGAGACAGGGGATCTGAGGCAGGAGAAGGAAAACATGATCAAGTTTCCAAAACTGAATTATAAATTAGATGTTTTCTCTTAGAATCGAAACAGAAAGTCAGTTTAGATTATAAAAACAAAAACCCAGAACCTAATCAATAGCACAATGTGCATTACTCAGGATCGATTAGATAAAATGAGGAATTATTTATGAACATCCTCTGAATAACCGAGAAACACCGTGGCGAGGACAGAAAAGTCTCCCCTGACGAGAAGCTCATATCTTACTGGGAGTGACACGCAGCCCGAGCACCACAGAGGGACTGCGGGTCAACAGGGTACAGGTTCCACAGGGTGCATTCTGCCGGCAGGGACTCACAAAGCCCTGTGGTTGCTGCCAGCCGCCTGGGAGAGGGGAGAAGGCGAAAGGGGGAGCGGGCTGGGGAGACCCGCCTGGTGGGAGGGAAAGGAGAAAATGCAGCGAAGCCCAAGGTTGCCCCAGGCCAGGGGAAGGCCTGGGAAAGGTTTGGCCAGAGGAGGGAACCAGTGATTGTTCTGGAAGTAAGGCAGGCCAGGGGTTCAGAGGGTTTGCAGAAGATTCTACAGGAGAGTGACTGACCGTGTCTGTAGACAAGAGATGGCACTGCAGATTTCTGAGAAGAGACGGACACCACTGCATTGAAGCTGTGAGTTCAATCCCCACCTGCCGAAGCCTGGAACCTGCGGCCAACTCAACAGAGCAACAGCTGGCGCAGGTCTGAGCAGGTGCACAGGTGGAGACGGAGCCAGGTGAGGACAGAGGGCAGGAGGTGGAAGCTCCCCATGAGAAGGGTCTCCTCCAAGAGGAGGAGTCGAGAGGAGCCCTGGGCAGGAGACGCCTGGCCTGGCGGAAATCCTTGCTGCTTCCAGCAGATAAAGGGGGCGCCCTGGGCCAGTGAGCCCGTGTGAGCTTGTTCTCTAACAGCCTTGACTGTCCACAAGTAGAGGAAGGGTGCTGCTCTCAGGGCGGCAAATTAGACCTCCCAGGACACAAAGAGGAAGGGCTAGGACATTCTCCTTCTGGTCCCAGAGTTCTGGGTGCTCTCCACAGGATCCGAGGAAGGGAGAAGCTCCCGGTCACGCAGTCCACACGCTGCGCCCAGGGGTGCCCAGAAGCCCCTGAGGTGGAGGGGAGCGGGGTGAACTGTGAGGGTGGGCGGCCCTGGGCGGTGTGTGCCTAACCAGTTAGAATCTGGTAGCCCCTGTCTGTCACTCTGCAGGACCCATGTTGTCCAGTCCACAACTACGGGGTGTGGGCCCCCTTTTCACATCCTCGTGGCTCACCACGGCTCTGATCTTGAAGACTTTCCTCTCGTTTCCAGGAAACTGGACAGCTGTGGTCTCTCTTGACATCCTGTTCTGAGCGTCCATTTCTGCTCTTCTCAGAGTTTGAACATTCTCAGCCAGATGTTCCTTCTCCTCCCTCTTCCACGCCATAGATAATCCCCATGTGTCCAGCCTCTTTGAAAACCAGCCCTTCCCATCCTCCATCTGGAGCCCCCACCTGAACTCCAAGGGTGTGATTAGCATTTATGTGATGTGGAGTCAGAAGTCCCCATTTGTTGAACTGCAAACCCATCTAGGGAATTACTCTCCTCGTTGTCAACCCCCTGTCCCTGCCTAAGGGCGCAGAGTTCCACCACTCACCTCTAAGTGGACTCACTCATGGAGACTCTCAACTCTTCTGGCAGCTTGTTCTGTAACAGACTTGACTGTCCACAAAGACTGCCAAGGCCCAGAGACAGCACTTGAGCCTGGCACGCCCAACTCATGGCCTGTTGCACAGTCACCTCAATAGCACAACCAGGCACATTTCTCAAAAACAGCAAAGCAAGGACAGAGTGGCTCTCTAAGCTGCTGTTCAAGGCCCTGTGCTCTTGTACTGGGCCATCTGTTTCCCATCTTACCTACTCACCCATGCCTCAGTTCCCATTCCTGCCGCAGATAACACTGGGCAGCAAATTCACAAACCTTCTCTCCTCTGCTCATTTTGAAAAGTCCACCCTTCCCCCGGAAGCAGCCTTGGCCATCCCAGCCCAGAGGAATGCCCTCATGGACGTGGAAGGTAACAGCAATCCTTGCTCCCCTGATTCGCTGGACCCTTATCGCTGACGGCCTTGGATCCTAACCTCTTTTGACACCACTGTCAATGTTCTCTCATGTTCACTGAACACACAAAGGGGGACACTTGAGTCGCTCAGATGTCATCTGGCCACTGCAGACAGCACAGCACCTATGTGCAATCCACATCCTCAACGTACTCTTTAAGGGCCTGTAACGCACCTGCCCCTTCACGAGGTTTCCCTACCATTCTGCCCTTCTTGTTACTTTGAAAACACAGCAGTCCTCCCCCTGAATCATACCCATGTAGTCTCACTTGGTTCACTCCAGAAGCTCCAGATTACACTGTCCATCATTGCCCTGAATACCAGGGCAGGCCATCAAAATGACATGCACATTTGACTATCCCAGGGTGCCCTGGGATCTATGTGCCTGTAAGCCTTGGAGCCACCTGCACGGTCTTGGAGACATGGATCCACCACCTGCTCCCCTTGGCTTCCTGGTATAACTTCTGCTTTTGTTGCTAAATCCTGTGGATCCTCCAGCTCCAAAGTCCCTGGGATTTTATGATAACTGTGTGCAGGTGGCGTTTACTGGGCACCAACTTCGTGTCTGCACTGCCACACTGAATACCCAGAGCAGTCCAGGAGCAGACTCTTTGATCATCCCTGTTTTTAAAATAAGAAAACTAAGAAGCCGAGACATGCTGAGCCCATGGTCATGGAATTGTCTTGTGTCAGAGCTGGGGTCTGACACGGGCGGGGTGACCCCTCAAGCATCAGGAATAGGACTTCCGAGTGATTATCTAGTACATCATTTACAACCTCAACTCCCAACTGAGCTGGAAAAAGAAAAAACTCAACTCAATGAATGAAGCCCAAATGAGACATGATGTAATATGACTTCAAAACCCTTTTTACCAGAAGCAGGAGTCGGGCAGGGCTCAGCGGATGCCATAGGAGCTTGCTTTCTTTGCAAAGGCAACTCCTGTTACTCACAGTAGACAATTAGAGAACATTCCAGATTGTCAAGTGAAGGCTTGTTTCCCTTTCTCTGGCCCTTGGGCTTTGAGTCAGATGACTGTACAAATTCCAAAGCATCTCTGCAGTTCTATGAATCAAGTGAGGGAGTGGGATGTGCATGGAAGCCTGTTTTCTGGGCTCCAGCCAGAGGCTCCTGGGCCCATGGTGGTCCTGGGGCAGTGGTGGTCCTGGGCCAGGGCTGCCAGAAGCCATGCTCCAGTATGTCCAGATCAGTGAGGTCTGGATATGACTGCTGAGTCCAGCACGGCCCTCGAGTACATGCAAAAAAATGCAAAGTCCCCGGACCCATGAATGAGCTTACCAGTCCTGCCTCTGAGCAAGCCTTACTCTGTACCAAGGGTGGACATAAAGCAGATGAAAAAGAGGCCATCTTCACAGAAAGAGAAAGGCAGACCCAAATGTAATGGCTCTATTCTTTAATTGCCGTTT